TCCAGGGACTGTGACTCCAAACCTGCCCTGGGCAGCTGTGCCAGTGCCTGACAGCCCTTTCAGTGAAGAAATTCCTCCTAATATCCAATCTAAACCTCCCCTGGCACAGCTTGAGGCTGTTGCCTCTTGTCTTGTCACTTGTTACCTGGGAGCAGAGTCCAACCCCCACCTGGCTACAGCCTCCTGTCAGGTAATGGTGAGTGAGGAGGTTCCCCCTGAGCCTCCTTGTACTACGTCCAAACTGTTTGTGTGGTTGGTGGTCCTTGTTCTGCACTTCACCACGAATGTATCTTCAGACACAGATGTCTGATAACCAGTTTCTGCAGTCTCTGTGGTTTGTGTTTTGAACAGGGATGAAGAATTTAAGGGTTTCGTGTCACGCTTCAGGCTCTGCATCAGGTCATGGTGTCCTGTCTCACCCCTGTACAGTTCTTGGAGAAAGTCACTGGTTCTTCTGGCACCTCCATATAATCTGACTGTTGTTTTCTCAGGAGAGACAGAGCAAACCTGAGCATAAGATACAATTTGGTAACTGAACTAATTAGTGCTCCTGAGGTCTTTCTGCTGTGATTCCCAGTGATGATTAAAGGAGTGGTGGTTTAAAAATACCTAATGCTCCTTTTTTACTCTAAAAAATACAACAAACTTGTGCACTGAAGTTAGTATTTAATGAGCAACCTGTAATATGTGGGGGAAATGCCTGATTATTTCTTATGTGGGGGAAGGACAGTAAGAAAATGTAGGTTTATACAGGCTGGTTTTAATCACCTAAGGTGTCTTAGCTTAGCTTTTAGCTTTCCTGACTTAAAGCCTGTATGTTGTTCTCTATGTACTGGGAAAGTGTGTGTTACTGGAGTGCAAGTTAAGGCCATGGCTGTGCCCTCCAGGATTCAAATATCTCTTAGATCTTCATCTTTCGATCTTTCTTATCTTCTCCAGTTTCGCTTTGATTTTTGAAAAAGATTTTAAATTAAATATTAGTCATTTACTTTTCCAGATGGATGTTTCTCAGATCATAAAGTGATTGGATGCAACAGTTAAAAATGAGGGAAATGGGCTCCAAATATGTAGTGGTATTTGTTGCTACTTTTGTCTTTGTGACAGCTTTAACTTAGGTACACTTAAGGTATTATGGTAAATGCCACATTTTTTGTAGCGCTTCATGTACTGACAGAGGGATTTAAAAACATATATGTTCTCTGGATGAAAGGTTTTTTTCCTGGCCTGGATCAGGAACAGTGTGGTCAGCAGGACCAGGGAGGTGATTCTGCCCCTGGACTCGGCGCTGGTGATGTCACACCTTGAATCCCGTGCTCAGTTCTGGGCCCCTCAGCTCAGGAGGGACATTGAGGGGCTGGAGCAGGTCCAGAGAAGAGCAACGAGGCTGGTGAAGGGACTGGAGCACAAGTGCCATGAGGAGAGGCTGAGGGAGCTGGGGGTGTTCAGCCTGGAGAAGAGGAGGCTCAGGGGAGACCTTCTCACCCTCTGCAACTCCCTGACAGGAGGTTGGAGTCAGGTGGGGGTTGGTCTCTTCTCCCAGGCAACCAGCAGCAGGACAAGAGGGCACAGACTCAAGCTCTGCCAGGGGAGGGTTAGGTTGGATCTTAGGAAGAGATTTTTTTAGGGAGAGAGTGATCAGACATTGGAATGTGCTGCCCAGGGAGGTGGTGGATTCACCATCCCTGGAGGTTTTCAAGCTGAGACTGGATGTGGCACTTAGTGCCATGGTCTAATAATCAGGGTAGGGTTGGAGTGGATGATCCTGGAGGTCTTTTCCAACCTGGTTGATTCTATGATTCCATGATCAGTATAGTATAATGCCCTACACATCCAGGAAATTGGGAAACACTCCCTATAACTAGGGATTCACATTTCACCACTGCACATCTTTGTGAAAATCTGAATCTTTCGAATATCAGTTGTTTTTTTAAGGGTAAATGGAAACATGTTAATTTAAGTACTGTGAAAATTAGTGTTTGCAGTTCTCTTTATGCAGCAGCATATGCATGGGGCTCATTTGCATCTCTTCAGCTCTGCCAGACAAGTGGATTCTGCAGTGGAATTCTGAAGCAGTCCCATGGCTGATGGAATCGTTCACTGTGTAATCCTACGTTGCATTTGCAGTACAGAAGTGAATGGGTTTGTAGCAATCAATGTTTGTGCATGACAGACAGGTCATGGTAACAGCAAATGGCCTTGTGATGTAGGGAAGCTCCAGCAGAGAGATGTGTGTGGGCTTCATAATCCATAACTTGGAGGATTTTTTTGTAGAACAGTTTTGAGTGTCCCAGTGAGGGAAGATGCTCAGTTGTTAAGCCTGACTTGAACAGAGGTCACTTACTTTTGAAAATAAGTCACATTGCTTCATATATATCTACATTTAAGAAAGCTTTGCCAATTTCTGCTCTTCCAGGGAAGTTTAGTTGTTTGAGCAGTTCAGCAGAACTTTCCTCTGTCCTAGAACCTCTTTGGAGTTGATCACAACTTTCTTTTTACAGCATTTCAGTCATTTTATATACTAACTGCGTCGGTTTTGCTGCTTGAGAGGAAGAGAAAACTTGACTCAGTTTTTATTCTGGAAGTCTCTAACTAATACTGTGTTAGCTCCTACCTACAAATTTGCTTTGGCCCTGGCATATCTCAGAGAAGGAGCAGAGTTGAAAGCACAGTGAACTGGTGTGTTATGTGCCAGGATCAGTTTTTTCCATTTAGATGTTCTGTTTTTAGAAAATTTAATGGTCTGGAAAAGCTAAATCATAGAAGAAGAATAAAAAAAAAAAGGTCTGGGATTTGAAGCTAACCCAAAGGAAGCTACTCTGAAGACACAGTTGGTTTAGTATCCGAAAACCTGAGATTAGGTTTGGTTCCCACAAGCTAAGGAGTTGCTTTTGTCATCACCCACCCAGAGCATGTTCTTTGTTTTGTGGGATTGATCTGAATGCTGAGGGGCATACAGCAGTGCCCTGCATTTACATAGCACAAGGAATAAAAAATCAGGATGGTACTTGTCATTTATTTCCCTCACCAAAACGGCTTGGTTATTGAAAAAAAAAAAATTACTCCTAATGTGGCTTTTTTGGGCAGTGAAAGTTTTTGCAGTTCATTGGGTTGGTTTGGGGCAGTGTAGGGGAATGGTTAATTAAAGATAGTAGATATAACACAGATAAACAAAATGAAAGTCCTTCAGCAGCAGGCAGGGCATGTCCTTGCTGTGAGCACCTCCAGCAGTGAGTTGTGGGGATGTTTGCAGGTTGTTCTGCACCAGGACAAGTGATGGGAGTGATAAGTGCTGCAGTAACCTGACAGCTGTTTGTCCTCTGGAGTGAGGGACTCTGTTACTAAAGGAGAGCAAACGAAGAGTCCTTTTTCCCTAAGCATTTTTTAATATTTAGAATATAAATTTCAGCTTTTTCTTGTAATTTTTCTTAATTACTTGAAATACTGTTTGACTTTCCTTCTGTTCAGTGATGGTAAGCAAGTCCCACTTCCCATGGACACATGGGGAATGAGGTTGGTGTAGCTTTTAGCATCTTCCAATTCTGCAGCATTTAACTGTATAGATTTTAACTGGAGTGTCTGCACTGAATGTGCAGTTTTCATGGTGCAGTAGTGAAGCACTAATGAAAATCCTGTAGCTCTGTTGGGGAGGATGTGATCTATTGCTCGAGCTCTGTGTGTGTGTGTTGCTTTTGGCTGTGTAGGCTTCACAGCCACTACTGTGCTCCTTGAGCAGCTGCTCTTGTCCAACACATTGTTTGAAATACCTTTCCCTGAAGATGTGTGGCTCACCTGGTGTTTTGCCTCTTAGAGTGGTTGTAGAAGAAGGAGGACTTGAGGGACGATCCAATAGTCTAAACAAAGATTGGATGTTGGGGAAAAATATGTTCTGTTCCCAGCTCTATTGCACACTTGCCAAAATGGCTTGGCCAAGTCACAAATCTGTTTAATCTGTTTTTAAAAATGGGGATAACACTTCCTGGGCAGGGTCAGGGCGATGGTGACAGTTCAGTGCTCTTTTCTAGCATGTTCTGTCAGGAAAGAGCTCTGCCTTGTCTTGTAAAATCGATCACTTGGGTTTTGAAGGGGATTACTTGGTGTGCAGGGCAAACTCCATAACTCCCTCCCTGCTCCCTGTTTCTCAGGTTATTGGTGCTGGGTTTGCTGGTGTTCCAGGCTTTCTTTCATACACTGTTGTGTGTGAGTGCTGCTATCCTTGAACTTTGGTGTGCCAAACCCACTGGATCCCACGAGTTGACGTGTGCAGTGTGTCAGTGTGTTCTAACAAAAGGTGTTGCAGAAAGCAGAGCCGTGGGTTTAGTCAGTTGTACCTGAGACTTTGAAAGTAGCACACATGGGAACATATAAGTTAGTTCTGGAAGCTTTTTTTCTGTCCTAGCTCAAATTTCAACCTTTCAAAGAGAATGGTTAGGACAGTTGCATAATGTTTTCTTGTGTAGTAAGTACAGCACAGCATTGTAAGTTCAGGTGTTATGATGGTTTGACTTTACCTTTTTGGAACAATATCAGACTGTCACATGATTTAAACTTGTTGAAGAATGGCTAAGGGAACAGGGGCACAGCTCCCAGAGAACATTGTGCGAGCAAGAGTCGAGCAAAGGCTTATGGGAGCTTTGAGCATATAACTAAGAAGTAGGCCTCAGGAGTTTAGCTTCTCAGCATTAGAAGTTATTTTTGCAGCATGATGTTGCAGCCAAAGGACAAGCTATCTGGGAAAGCTCAGCAATGTTGCAAACCCTAGGATGAACTATTCCGGGAAAACAAAGAAGGATTCTCCAGAAAACAAAGACTTCTTCACAGCTGCAGCTGCAAGCAGACTTAGTAAATAAATGTAACCTGTAGAGCTTAGGTAATGCTAAAATGAATAATAGGTATAGTTGTCCTGCAAGCTAAGAAAGTATACAAATGTAACTTTTAGAGTTTAGGTAATGGTAAAGAGAACAGTAAGCACAGTTGTTCATGCACTGTATAAAAGATGGACGATGGCTTACAATAAAGGAGTCTTGCTGGACACCATCGGGTGCGCATTTCTCCCGTTGATCTTCCACATAAACTTACTAAAACATCAACAAACTTCTGCATTTCAACGGGAGTAGTTTTCTGCTGCATCAGGAAATGGGCTGGAGACAGTGGCTCCTGGTGGCAGGTGAGTGGGGTTATTGTCTGACCAGGGCTGGTGCAGGAGGCAGTGCTGACCTGTTCCATTGCCATATCCCATGGAAATCATTCCCAAGGTCAGCCTTTCATTGCTGAGAGCCTGGTTGGTACCTGTGCTTCAGGAATCTCAGCTTAAAGCATTCAGTGCTTCACTAGGTGTTGTGTGGAGGTTTCATTTCACTTAACACTGTCAGAGGGTGAGCGAGTGAGAGTGCACGTGTGTCTGCACCTAAACTCCTTTAAGTCCCTGTGAAATGGCCACTCCTAGGCCTGATTTCTCCAAACCACCTCAGGCTTTTGCTTTTCTCTGGGGTGAGCATCACTAAGTCTCTGCCCAGTTCCGCTCACTGTAGAGAGAGATGACAAACACAGGTCCAGGTTTACGCTTGGAGATATTACTCCTGTGCTTAGTGTGTCTGTGCTGAACCCTTTCCTCCTCTGTGCTTTGCTCCTATATCAGCACAGGGACAATGATTGGCCTGTGTTCTCGTGAAGACTTCAGTGAGTGTTTTTGTATTCCGGTTCAAATTTCCCCTTGCATGACTGTGTGACTGGGTAGATCATGTCTGTTGTTTTCATTCCCTTTTTTCCTCCTGCCCTTTCCTGCTGCCCCTTACACAGCCCATGGTTTGAGAGCTTGGCATGGTCTCAGAACAGCTCAGGAGGAAGAGTGCTTCTGGAGGGATATATTCCAATAACAACCTGCTCGTTGGAGATTAAATAGTTTCTTTACTTTGTGGCTTTTCAGACTCTTTGGTGTCTTGATTGGTTCTGGAGTGCCCACACAAGTGATGGAGAAACCTAAATTTATGTAACACTGTGGAGCAGTCAGTGCACAGGATGTTTCTAGGGGGGCTGCACATTGCACTAGAAAAGTTTTAGGGGTTTGGAAACAGAAGAAAAAGGGAAAAGTGGTTTGAACAAACATTCTGCAGAGTACAGCTGGTTAAAAAAATATCTCTGAATGTAGCATAAAGTTTTGTTTTCTGTTGAGATGCTCAGCCCAGCACTACCACCACAGTGCAGCTCTGGAACACCAGACATGTTTAGGTAGGTAACTGTGAAATGTAATTAATGCCCAGAGCTGTGTGAGAGGAGGCTGAAGAAAGTCTGTTCTTTGCCCAGACAGGCAGATTTAAGGGGGAAATTAAACACTGCTGCGTGCTCAGAGTTCGGGTTGGTAGGAAGCAGTTTTTGTCACTCCTCAATGGCCCGAGTTAGTCATGGATTTCTGTGTCAAATAAAGGACTGTGCTGCTCTTGGAAGCAGAGTTCTGCCTTGAAAAGCCCATCTAAAACAAACTTTGCCTCCTTGATTCAGGACTGAGCTCTGTGCCTGTGCAGCCCTGCCTCAGTGGGCAGCTGCTCTCTTGGGAACCATTAGGAAGTTGGGGCATAATTTTGCCGTGGAATGCAGGTCTGTGATGAGGTAATAAATGAAAGCTTTTGTTACTAAAGTAATGTATGAGTCACAAGTGCTTTTTTTATGGTTATGCTTGCGTCAAAACAGATCATGACAGCACTTGTTCACTGTACTCCTCCTACTGCTTTAATTGTAAGGACTGTGAGGTGCCAAGAGCTGTCTGCTTGGCTCCGAGCACTTTGCTTTGCTGATAGCTTCTTGTTGAACACTCAGCTTCAGTGTTTCCATACGAACCTGTTCCCTGCGACCAAGGGTGAGGTGCCAGGCACCTCTGACTTGGTGCTGAGGGATGGAGTGGGTTTGGTTTGTCAGCTGCAGCTCAGCTCTGCTCCCAAATCCCGTGGAAGCTTTTGGAATGGCATTTACTGTCGTGCTGAAAGTTGGAGCTTGCATATTTGATAATAGGAAACCAGTGTTAAATGAAGTTATTCTGGAAGGAAGAAGAAATGGTAATTGATTTTTACTTTCCTGTTGCAAGTGTTTGGTTTCTGGTTTTTAGACAGGAAGCTGTTGTGTTTCGGAGTGCTGTCTGTAGGCTCTGCTGGGACTCAAGAGCTGTTTGCAGTTTGGCAGAGGTAGAGGCACACAATCTTTTGGACGCGTATTTTAAGTTGTTTTTGTAGTCTAGGAGGAAATGTAGGGATAGAGACCACACAACCTGGCTCTGCATACAGCTTTTGTGTACAGAGATGCTAAACACCCGAAAATGCAGTGTTTCCATAGGCGGAGTTTCTTTTGTATTCACAGGCTGGGGAGCCTCAAATTCCAGAGGCATTACATGAGCAGTTTTAATGAATTAGTGTCTGGTTTTCCTGCAGCAGATGTGACAAGCAGCTTTATAAGCTGCTTCCCATCGATCGCTGTTTTCCAGCTCTTTTGTGTCTTTCTTTTGCTCAGAGAAAAGCAGGGAAGAGCTCGGTTTCTACAGTAACTGCTGCCTACACTCCTGCCTGCAGGCCAAGAGCTTTCTCAGTCCTCAGCCTGTGCAGGGCTACTGCATTCAATTGCTTTAGGTCTTGTTTGGGTTTCTATTTTTTTTTTCCACTTCTTGCTGGTTTAAATATTTTGCCCTTTAAGAGAAGGGGAGAATGCAGTGGCAATTTGTGATTTGGAGAGAGGCGATTTTAATTAAGCAGAGCACATTGCTATGGCTGTGAGATAACCTAGATGTTGTTGCTGCTGGTCGATAGCAGTGTTTGTGTGGTTGGTGTGTAAAGAGAAGGAGATGCCTGGCTGCTAAAACAAGATTTGGGAGAGCATTTTCGTGATGCCTTTCTGTAAAGTAATGATGCAGGGGAGGGCTGAGATCAGTGTCAGGTTCTTAATAGAATCCTTCGTGTTTGCAGCAAAATTTGCTGTAGCGAAACAGCTTCATCACGTGTCTTTTCAGCCTTGACTCTTCAATGCCCTTAGAGACACTGCTGGGGTTAAAAATGCCCATTTTCTCCTGACGTCAGCTCTGTGAGTGGGAACGACCTGAGCACCATTTCACACAAGGTCATGTGGTTATTACTCAGTTTGTATTTGCTGCTGGTGGTTCAGGAATGTTCCCGTTGTCGTCATCAATATTCTGCTGTCATAGGATCATTTTTTGACGCAGGCAGGCTCGTTCCAGACCCTTCTGAAGGCAGGTCAGCACCATTCCTGTAAGGAATACCAACCAACAGCTTTACATACCTTTTATGCACTTGCTCAAACACAAGCAGGCGGGTCTGTAACTGAGGTTTCCCATGGGGGAGCCATTAATTTCCAGCTAGATCCTATTTCCAGCCTTTGCTTACAATTTGGTGCAAGTGTTTTATTGGCCAGCTTGAATTAGCATGAGGCTGCAGCAGTGTTTCCTCACTTCTGATGCTGCACAGATCTTTGCTTTTCAATCTTAAGACAAGTGAGAGTATAAACAGATCAGTGATCTTTCTCTTTAGGGTGTTTTTCCTGCTGCTTGATGGCTCTGTGTAGACAGCGACGGCACACCTGAAACAACAGCCAAATCCTTGTGAAAAGTGTTCCAGTGCTCAGAGTAAAACGTCTCGTTGCTGCTTTAAAAATCTGAGAGTGCTTTGTTCCTCACGGTGCTGGAGGTCGAGCGTGCCACAGGGCCCTCCTGCTCTCTGTGTGGAGGACATGCTTTGCAGCTATTGATCTTTGGTCCGCAGAAATCAATCGCAGAGGATACAGGGAATTAAGGGGAACACGGATGAGGTCGGGATTCACTCCCCAGAGGAAAAAGCTGCCACTCTTTAAAGGGCAATTGCTTTTCTGGGTAACCTCTAGAAGTGTCCTGACTAGTGATGGCCACATGTAATTGAATGTAAATTTGTGGTAAATTAGCCACATCAGGACTTAGTTTCAGAGCAGGGAGGAGAGGGAGGAGGAGGAATCCATCCTGCCCCCACAGGGATGTGAATGTGGACCTGCAGGCAGAGGTGCTGTGTTCTGGCTGGGGGAGGTTCCCATAGGCTGTGGTCAGCTGCAGGCAGAAGGACATCAAAAACTTTATTTCTAAAAATAAAGGAGTTGGGATTTGTGTTGCATTGATATAAATACTGTAAGGAAATTTTTTTTATCACCATTCCCCCATCAACAGAGAAAACCAGATACTCCTTTGTTCCACCCCCAGCAATGGAGAGAGTGTTAGAAAGGTCATAGTAAAGACAGAATCTCTGACAGGAGCACAGGTTATACCTCATGCAGGTGAACGAGCATGTGCATAAAAATATTGCCCATCAAGAAAGTTCTCCCTGTTTGGGACAATAAGAAAATAATTCTAATCTGATGAGTGTTAGACTGGATGGAGATAGATATATATGCACACTGATCCCCCTTTTTCAGTGTAGCCATGATAAAATCTCTTGGTGTTACAGCAGCACTTTTAAAAGTGTGATCCTAGAAAAGACTTTATGAAACAAATCCCTGAACAGTTATTTCTGTTTCAGAGTCCAGACAGTCTTACTACAAAAAATGGTGTGGTATTTTTCTAGTAACTTGTGCCTCGTTAGTGATCATTTAGTGCTGGGAGTTTTCAAGTGGCTATTCAGTATATGATTATTAGTATGGATTCATCTATCTGCCTTTGTAATTAGCCTGGAAACACAGATTTTTAACTGTTAGGTACTTTCAGATTATCTCGAAATAAAAACTGCAGGTCAGTTTGTCTTTTTACTAAGTTTTGGGTTTGTTGATTCTTTTAAATCTAAAGGTGATGTCTCTATTCCAGAAATGGACTGTGCTATTGACTTCCAGTTCAATTAGACACAGCCCAAAGTCTCAGAAATACATTCTGGATGTGAATAATTCAGTATTACTGCTGGTGGTGTTGAGCAATCTGAGACCTTTTGGTATAAAATCTAAAAGAAGAGGAAGTCAAAGTGTAATTGTGTGTTTTTTTGAGAAGGGGAAGGCTGAGTGGAGCAGCCACTTTCCCCTCCGTGTGGGAATTGCTGCTTTTTCCAAGCCAGCCCTGCTTTGAGCAGGAGATTGGGCTGAGGCCTTCGGAAGCTCCTCCCAGACTCTGCCACTCTGTGGTTCTGTCTGAATGACGTGAAACCTCAGTTTTTACTTCACATTTAGAATACAGTTGTATCAAAATTGTGTGTGGAAATGTTCTCTGTGATACTGGTGACAGTGTCAAAGTGTGCACATCTGCCAGAAGCATAAATGAATGGACTGGTTGGGAGAGTAATTTTGACTGGGCTGAGGGGGAAGACCAGTTGGGAAGTGGGTCATGAGTAGGTAGGTAAGAGGAATTAGAAAAGGGATTAGTTTCAAATCTCCCGTCCGTGGAGGGGAGGCCACAGCTGGAAGTACTGTGATTTCCATGTTGTTTGGCTAGTTCACTGATCAGAACAGCAGGAGGAAGTACAAACAGCATCACCTTGGGCTGCTGTGCTGTCAGAGGCAGCCCCAGTTAGAGGTGTGCTGGTGGTGCAGATGCTGCTGCTGACCTCTGTGTCCCTCTGCAGTGAGTTGTGGTGCTGCTGTGTTTGCCTGGAGCGTGTCTGCAGTCACAAATCGACAGGAGCAATCTCCCAGCTGCTGACTGGGTTCTTTTGGAGGGTCTTAGCTTTTTAATGTGAAAAGTTGAAGGTGTCCTTGGCTCTCAGGAAATCAACAGGAGTTCAGAAACTCTCACCTTGTTATTCTTTCAGATCTGTTTAAATCTCAAGGGATCCTTAAGTTAACTTGAGTTCAGTGTCCTGGTCAGTGGCAGAGAATTGAACTGTGCAGCTGTAACTACCATGACTTTGAGGGTTATCAGTGCTGAACCCCTGTAATCTAATTGGATGTAAAGTCTGGAGGTGCTGATAAAAGAAGCTTCTGATAACAGTGGGATGGCAGCTGCTGTCTGATTTCCGTCCTGGTTCTTAGAAGACAATTAAACCAGAATAGTTCAAAGGATAGTGAGGCACCAGGTGTCATAGCAGGGTTTACATGCAGGGAGGAAATTGAATTCCTACTTCGATGTTTTAGCTTCCCAGATGAAGACAGGATGAAATTCCTCATTTTCAGTCAGATGGTATTTGCACATGGGCAGAATTACAAGTGTGTCATTAGCTTTTCCCTGCAGTACAGGCAGAACTGCTGAGGGGAAGGGAGAAAATACCAGAAATCCAGATGTGACAAACTCGACTTTGCACATGATCCCCCAGGACACTTCTCTGGCACCTGCACAGTTGCTAAACTCGAGGTAGTGCCTGGATCAGCATCACTGTGTGTTGTTGGGAACTGTGGAGGTGGTAAGTTTTCCAGGGACAATTGTAAATAATTTGATGCTTCTTGTCCATTTTCCAGGAGTCAGCCCAGAATAACCTTTCTTTGATTTAAAAAAGGAATAATGAAGGTCATGAGTTGCACTGCCACTGCAGTTCCCTACAGCCCTCTGTCTCCAGGGAAAGCACAAGGACTCAGCCATCATCATCATCATCAACAAATGCACACAATTACTGAACTGCAGATGCTGTGAATAACTATACACATACAGATACATAAAATCAGCACTGGCACATCAGCTAACTAGTGCTGTGTGTGTTCTTCACGTGGGTACCTGGCACACTTCTTGTTACAGAACTGCTTAAACGTGGATGGTTTGCAAACATTTGGGTTTGGGAATCTGTTGGATCAGTTGTGGTGGCTCTGTGTGGTTTCCTGCCCCAAATGGCATCATCCTACAAGGGCAGGATGGTAGTTAGTGGCATAGATGAGGCAGAGTCACAGCTTACAAAACTGCCTTTTTTCTTTTTGTTTTGTTTGTAAGGGGGTTGTCTAGAGTTGTTTTTCCTGTGGTAGCACATTGTGAAACTATTGTAAATGCTTTAAACAGTGAGTGAAATCCAATTCAGCTTGTTGAGGACTAACTGTTCGATGAGGGCACACCTGTGGGTTTTCTTTAGTTTATTGTATATCTGAAAAATATGCCAAAACCAACTTGATCCTGACCAAATTAGAACACGCTCTGTGCTTTGGTTTTGGAAGCAAATGTAATACATTTGCATAGGTGCACTTTATTCAGGAATTCTGTTGGTTAATATATATTCGTTATTCTGCTTTTTGGCTGAATCCCAGCTTTAAAAATATGCTTCTATTAAAAACCTGTTGACAAACAGGAATCAATTGACAGATGTGGTGTGTGGATAATGTTCAGGTGTTTGCATTCTCCAACCAGACAGGGATTTGTGAGTGTCTTGTGCCTCCCTTACTAGCACAATCCTTCCAGGCTTGGGCAATGTGAACTGCACTGGTAATGCCTTTGGGTTTTCCTATAACTTCTTACTGTCCTTGTGCTAAGCTGTGCAGATTCAGCTCCTCCCCACCCTTACTCGGGTTGGGGTTGCTCAGTGTTGTGCACTTTCAGCAGGCAGTGAGAACTGTAACCAGGGAATGTTCCCACATTTTTCTTAAGTTGGAAGAAGTTTGGTGTGAAAAGCTTTCAGGTACATTTGCAGGTATGGAATAGCCTCGGGAAATGACAGGTGACTAGAGCTGAAATCTGTCTCTGTGTCCAACAGATGTTGTTGTTCACTTTCTCACAGGGATTTTTACTTGATCCTTGGCTCCTGTCTTTGCGTGCACTTGAGGAGTGTTGTTGTTGTTATTGCTGATTAACTGAAATGCTTGGAAAATGTTTTTATTAGCAAACCAGCCAAGACCTCTTTCCACTGTCACTGAAATAATACAAACACAAAATACTTTCTACCGGAAAAAGCTAAGGGTTGAGTTGCTACTGAAGATATTAAAGAAAGCCACAACCCAACCCAGAAATTGGTCCATTTAACTTCCTTGCTGAAATGCATGTGCAGCTTTTTGGCATAGATTCTGTTCCTAATTTAGTACGTGGAGCATGTTTCAGAAATAGGTCGTCTGTTAAACGCGGACACGGTCCGTACTGAGCAGGGAGAGGGAGAGAAAAGGAAGGTCACTGTGGATTCTTCCTCTTTTTTCC